TTCACCATTAAATGGAACATAATAAAACGAGCACCCCCATATAACAATATCACTAAACGCTGCAACCTATGCCTAACAGAAAAGTATTACATCATCGCATCCGACCGTAACAAAACATTAAACAAACGGTCAGAGTTGATCTCCGCCTGTCGTCACCGCAACAAATACTTGCTCAAGAACTGTTAATTTCCACGCCCACTTTCTACAAACCTCACGCCCATCACTTATAATATACCTGTTCCTAATGAAAAAATTTTCTCCCAGCTGTAAATTCCACAACACGTATATATATACCATCCTTTCTGCTCAATAACTCAGACCTGACGATTGCACATTGCATGAAACTGCAGTAGTCGAAAATAAAATCCTTACACGTATCAATGTCTACCTACATTATATATATATATTTTTTAATAAAACTTGCATTTAATTTAGTATATTTAATTGTTGCAATCTAATTCTTTTCTTTGTTTTCTTTCTAGGAATTTACAAGCAATGGCATAAGCTATGAAAAGGTTGCCACAGCAGGCCAGCAAATTCCCACTAATGAAGTTGTCAAGAGGTAAGAAAATAACGTTTTTTTTTAAATTGACTTCTGTATTATATGAGGCATATGTTTTAAGCAATATCTCTTCTCCTGACCTTAACAATTTGTATAATTAATTTGATATCAGAATTATCATCGTAAAACTATAAAATTAATTTGTTTTGGGAAGTGGTATAAAAAATGTCTCAAAAATATTAATAATTCTAAAAGCCCTATCCAGACTTGTCAAATTTTCTTTGATAAACAATTTTTTTATGCCAATATTCATGATGTACCTTCTATATATGGGCATTATTATTTTGTCAAATTTGCTAAGTCTAAACACAATGGCGACTCTAGGATGCATTTTCTAGGGGGCTTGAGCTTGTATGGCTGAGGAGGGGAGAGGGTTTGGGAGACCTGATGTCCTCCCAAATGAGATTTTTTTCAAAAATAGAAACCTCTGGATGGCCAGCTGTGAAAGATATGTTTTGGGTTGGATGTGGGCCTATTTGTTTTTTCGCTCTGACTGCTCGACATGCTGGGCCGGTGGGGAGAGGGGGCTTGACTTGTCCAATGGGGGCTTAAGCACCCCCTCTCCACCCTCGGCTAGACAGGGCTTAAGAAAATGACTTTATCTAAATATCTTGTATTTTCAGGTTTTCAAAAATTGTAAAGGATTTTGAAGATGCAAATAAGGGCAATGGTAAGAGAATCAGGCCTTTTATTAGAACTAGTGCTTATACTGTACATCATAAAATATTGTGGGTACAATTTTATGATGAAATATGTATTGAAATTTGTGCCCACTGATATGTTTCATGATTTTGTTTTTAAAATGTGAAATAATAATTTATTATTAAAAATTGATACAATTTACTACCATGTCATTAGCTCTAGGTAATGTAAAAACGTATAAAGGTTGTGCTGGCAGACCACAAAGTAAATTACTAATTCAATTACAGGTGGAAAAAGACACCTCTGCCTTAATAGATATGAGGATCTCATGTATCTTAAAGAAATTGCAAACGATAAGGTGTCATGGGTAAATCTATTCTAAATTGTATGTATGTCCTTCTCATAAATGCAGCATAACTAGTCACAGAAATTGTATGTTATAATTATTATATTGTTTTTGAAGTTTGAATGTATATTAGAAATTGCATGGTAAACATAAGTGTGAAAATCTTTTCCATAGAATTTTTAATAGCTGTCCACTGTACGCACGGTGTCAATCGTAGTGGGTACCTTATGTGCAGGTAAGTTTAGATCAGGCAAAGTGTAGATATTCATCATTCTCATACAAGAGGAATATGTCCTCCTTAGTAAAGTGGACATTTACATTGCCCAATAAAATATAAAATTAACTGTCTCATAAAAGTAAACATTTACCTTTCTCAGAAAAATAAAGTAGAAAATTGTATTGCAGTTCCAGATAAAATGCATCTGATTTGCTTTAATGCAATTTATTTTTCTGGACAGTTTAGTCTATATTTTTTTAATTTTATATTTATTTTTTTATTTATTTAGGCACACAATACATGCATCAAGGATTATCAACAGCGAATATATATCACTTTCTTACTTTTTCTTTTCATTTCAAAAGACATTTATTTACTTCCATAGTACAAACACACACAATATAATACAATATGATTTAAGATAAAAAAGAAATCAAGCTATGGAAGAAGGCATGATCCCAAAAAATTTAAGATCTTGTGATGAGCATGCCTCAAAGGGAATAAAAGTCAAAACAAACATAAAAAGAAAATCAATCATAAAACAACTAAACAAATAAATGAAGAGACAAATAAACAGAAAGGGAATAATAAATAAATAAATAATAAATAGATGAATAAGTGAATAACGGTTAAATGAAGATGAATAAATGAATTAATAAGTAATAAAAATGAATAAATAAAAAATAAGTAACAACTGAAGTTCATGTTGTAGGTGACAATTCCTTTCACAACACAATACACACACACACGATGCTTTACACAAACTAAATCTCAATATGAGATTTAGGGAGTAGAGTTGGTTTGATCGTGAGAAAAAAATCCTGCAACACTGACAGAAATTGAACCCATGACCCTGGGATTGGAAGGCAAACATGGCAACCACCAAGCTATTTAACTCTACTCATACATTACTAATCATTGACTGCACATGACCGTGATTGGTATGGTAGAAATAATTATCTATTGTACTCTTAATACGCCTTCACTTGCATGCCTAAACAATTAACATCTTTCCCCTCTTATACATAAACGCAATAAAAATTATCTGCCGTATCCCCCTCCCCCACCCAAGTATGGCTCATGTAATGCAATGGGTTTTTTTTTCTGGTTCTTAAATTATCATTGTTTCTTTTGTCTGTCATATTTTAAGTTCTTGTTGAGGGATGCTATGAACATTTTCTTTAAACGGATATCAGCGTTTACAAGTTTTCATTGTTGTTGCTGTTGCTGCTGCTGCTGTTGTTTGTATATTCATTATTATTATTATTATTATTATTATTAAATATTAATATTATTATTATTCATTAATATTATTATTATTATTATTTTTATTATTATCAATTGAACATGTTTGGAATTTGGAATTATTTTATTACAATTACAGATATATGATTGAAAATCTCTCATTTTCTCCAGACGATGCCATTAAAGGTAAAAACTTTTCAAGGTTTTATTCTATGTACAATTCCCAGTGATAAAGCTCAGACCATGAATATTAGTAACTTATTAGTTTTACTATTATATAGCTCTATCTTTTACTATTACACTGCTTTATGTCTTGTACTTATTGCATTGATGTATATTTTACTATTGCACTGCTATTTATTTTAATAATGTACTAAACATTTTTTTTTTAAATATTTGTGTGGTTAAAACTTTTAACTGCAAGGTTGTGAGTTCTAACTGAAATATATTTATTTATGTATATGGATAAATCCTATGAAATAAAATACAATTATTGTACTGATATTTCAGTTTTCAAAGAAGCACGTGGATATGGAATTGAAAGGGATCATTATCTGGCTAGCCTTAGAGGTCTGAGCAGGTATGTGTTATATGTGTTAGAAACATTGCAGAGCAAAATAAACTGGATTATCACGAATCACCAAACAGCAAAGAATACATTATTAAACTCTTACACATTGGCATATTCAGTGGTGTAATACTTGGGAGTGAAGCCTGAAGCCCCACTCCAATGAGGCCCCAGGTTTTGCTACTATTCAGCACTCCACTACAGAGCTTTGACTAGTGGCATGTCTTGACCATGTGCTCTCTGGTGTGAAGCTTTAGTTCTTGAAACTGACACCATCATGCCTTTTCTAATGATACCCAGCTCTGAGCCTGATAATTAAAACAATTTAATTGATTTTATTGTGCTTAGATCGATGGAGCTTCAAGAGTGCTTCAAGAGAGTTTCGATCAGTACACCAAATGATTAGTTACATATGCAACCAAGACGCACTAATGACAATATGCAATAATGCATGTTAATGAATATGTAAGCATGTACAATGCACTCGGTATTCAGTCTTATAATAAGGCTTTTTCTATGAATGGAATGATCAGGAGCAGATTTAGGGAATTGGGGTGGAGAGCTGGCTCCAGTACTCAATTTGGGAAAGTAAAAAACAAAAAGAAAGAAAGAAAGAAAGAAAGAAAGAAAGAAAAAGAAAATACCTCAGAGGTTATTTCCGGGCATCTAGAAAACAAAGCTTTTGCGAGGACATTCCCCCGCACCCCCTAGGGTAGTTTTTTTTCTCGATCGGCCCCATTTCGGCCCTACTTTCTGGCATCTCTGGATACGCCTCTGATGACTTTTACAAATCATGCACCCTTGTACACCAAACCCAGTATTGCTTACTCATGGTGTGAAAAAACACACAATATGTATTCTTTTTTATGGTAGTTTTCAGGATTATTCATGGCCAATGCCCTTCCTTCTTTAATGATTTTGTGAAGTCCAGTGATAGGTGTGATGGGTGCTTAGTACATTGGAAGGCTAAGACCAATATTTTTTTTAACTCTTTTTTTGTAATTCTTCCAAAACTTTGTGAATAACTTCCTGTTCAAATTCAGCTGTCCTCAACCATTTATGATTTTAAAACTCAACTAACAAAATACGTGAAGTCAAAATACTGATTTGTTATCTCTTATTTTTTCTCAATTTATATTTGTGTTTCTAATATGAAAACTGTTTGCTAATTCACCTTTTCGTACTTTTGCTTTACAAATATATTTTTAACTGTTAACTTCAAATCAGGATTCTTAATTTAGTTCAGTTAACAAGTTAATAATTTTTAATCAGGTGTGCTTCTTAATGTTCCAGTTTTTGAATATCTATTCAGGGGCATATCCAGGATTTAAAAGAGTGGGGGAGTTCAAAATGTTTTCCAAAAATCCCCAAAATGAAATGGGGGTACTGAGGTCCTCCCCCAGGAAAATTTTGATTCCCAGATGGCCGGAAATGAGTTTTCCCGACTTCTGAGGAGTCTTTTAATGACCTTAAATTTCTTCAAAAATCAAGGTTTTTCCCCCTCTTGAGAAAAGGTCAGGTAATTTTTATCTCATTATTTAGGCCTGTCATAGAGGGAAAAAATCTGCTATTGTTTTGTTTTTGATGATAGAGTAAAAGCAGTTTACTGTTTGGGTTCAAGATTCTTTGCTCCTGGCAAAATTGTACTTTCACTTTGCCGAATAAATATCATCATCATCATCATCATCATCATCAAGTTTTAAGTTTAAAATATTTCATCTCATTGCAGTAACTTTCAAAAAGAAAACTGAATTGCGAGAATGTTACAATACATTAAAAACATTAAAGAGATATAAAGATATACAAATTCAGCAACTTAAAAATCACACACAAAAAGGGTTGAATTCTATAACATGCAAATATAAAAAATTTATGAAAAATTACAATATAAGAACATTAAAATTACACATAAAATAAGATTCATTAAATAACATACATATAT